GGGGCCCAAAATCTCTAGAAGCACCCCTGCTTGTATTAACAAATACATAAATACACAGCACCTGGCCCGAGCCCATCTGCCTGACAAGACTTTGATTAGTTGCATATTTTAGTCTGTTTTGAGCAATATCAGTGATATTTCATTCAGTTTTTATTTTAATAGTGATTATTGCTCTATAATTCAAAGCATCAAATGAAACCATACACTGAAATCGTAAACTGTGAGTGCACCATCGAGGAGGTCCTGGTCGTTCTGAAGGCATGGTGCTGATAATGTAAGAAACAGGAGACTTCCTCTCACCCCCATGTGCCTCTAATGGAGACATTAAAAATACAAAAGTCCACACCTGGTTGCACACTGCTAAAAACTTGACAGTATTAGCTTGCACGAAGCACACCCCCTTTATTCATGTGCCCCGAAACGTAATCTACCTGAGCAGCTGACAGGCTTCTACGGTGATTTATCTTAAGTGTGCCAGTATGGCAAGGTCAGGGGAAATGCGCCTTACAAAGGAGAGGGAGGATGTCACACAGGCGAATGGTGGACAGCGCAGCAACCAGAGCACAGCTCATTGTTGGAGTACGGCTCGTTTGGGATTTGTTGTCAGCTGACTGTGCGCCAAATGCCAAGTCACTGCTCCCTGACGCAATACCAGGCAGGTATTGCAGGATTAGAAGTGGCTCTACAGGAATTCAACATTCTTTTACTCCTACAGGTGCATGTACAGTAGTGCATCCCACAGAACTGAAAAGGCTGTATTGTTGAATATGAGCATGTGCTTCAGATAGGATGTTTGCTTTGATAACTTGAAAGTCATGGTGATGACGCCACAACGAAATGTTATCTAAGATCTACCGTATTTACTGATTTGACATTTTACAATTATTTGCCATTGTACTTACGTCATATGATGTTAATTTTACTATTTTAAAACAGAATACAAGGAGTCCTTCTGTAGCTATGTGACATACAGACCCTTGCATATATGAGGGATTCGGCACAGAGATGGCAAGGCATGCCGGGAGAATGAGATGCTCATCAATGGGAGCAGCTTCCATCCATCTTCCAAAGGCTCAGCTTGGTCAGGAGAAGTCTGCGGCCTGTCCAAGGCAGAGATACCCCCTTGACAGGTTGCCAACCACAAAACCTGCTTATCCCACAAAAAAACAAGGTGGCAATAAGCATCTGACATCCACCATTTTTCAGGGACTGTTTATTTTTTTAGGGTAGTTTGACAGAAGAAAGAGGAATTGTAGGGGATCGTATTTGTTCTTTTTCATAAGTGGTCAACAGGATATCTAAGGGGTCAGCTTTGGGTCAAATCTTAGTTCTTTTCCTGAACTACCTGCGTATCTTGCAGGGTCAGTTTAAACCAGACGGACGACATGACTCTTGGCTCAAATTAAACTTGGTCTGGCACACCCAAGATTTGATACCGATCATTAGGGAAATGCAGGAGAGGTGACTGAAATGGAATAAATGTCATTTTCACTGCAAACTTGACAGGACACCCAGTGAACTCATATTAATATGCATTTAACAATAGAATGGCAACACTCAAGTGGTAAGCCTTGCCTCTGCTCTCGCCCTCTTCCTAAGATCATTAAGTCTTTGTAGTATTGCAAACCCCATCCCCAACCTTGACCTTGGGCCTATAATCCCAACTCCGATTGCATGACCTTGATATGGGTAGCAGAACTCCTTAAAAGAGAGCTGAGGGCTTCTCTGAGATTTATGAAGGGGGTGGGCAGACTATGTCTGATGGCTGATTATCACAATAGCTTACTGCTGCTCCTCATATATTGTATTTTTCTTGATTTCTTTCCATCTCTCCATCCATCCATGATCAGTTACTCATCCAGGCCACTGCACTGAACACAACCAGTACAGCTTCGCCTGCACTTAAAAAAAGAAAGATTGTGTTTCAGTCACAAATTCTGCTGTTAGTCCAGAGGTCTCATCAAGAAGGTGCCATCACAGTGGCTTCTATCTACCATCACAAATGCTAATTTAAATCCCCTCAAGATTTTATCTTGCTAAAAGCATTTGTAAAAGTGAGTCAAAAACAATGTTGTTTCTCTTTCTGCTTACACTGAGCTGCATTTGTTGTAGAATTACAGGTTACCTTTACTTTACCAAGGTTCTTACCACCCTCCCTCTCTTACCACACCCCGAATGGAATCCCCAGTCCTTCAGCTAGTCTCCAGGTACCTCACTTTTATTCAGTCTTATCTTCCTGTTCACTTTGCCACATTTTACACTCTAGGATTCCTATCAGAATAGTTGCACTTTCGTTTCTTTCATTTGTGAAAATCAGGGCATGTTTTTGTTTGCTATTTGGTTTATGTTTTTCCACACATTGCCAACAGTCTGACATGTGATGTAATGCTAAGTTATTATAAAATGGGAGCAAGGGACTGATGAGCTATTTTCCCATAAGCTGTGGTCCACCCAATCAGCTTATGTGATAGTACAAAGGTTAAAGAGTGAAAAATATAGCTTTCCTCTGAACTTGAGTAAATCATATGTAGTGTTTCGAGCTGGTTGTCTTCAATGCTTCCTTTTGTGGTGCCACACAAAGCCCATTAACCATAGCTCACGAAAATGGAGTTAACAATTCATATCCACACTAATTTCCATATCATGCTGATTTCTGAACATTTGCCTTTCACTGTGCCTATTTACCAATCATGACTAAGCTAAAAACCACACCCTGTCCTGAAAACACAGGACAGGATTTTAAAGTAAATATTTTCTTTCCATGATGTTACCTGCTTGAAAATTAAAAATGGAAAAAGATAATGGGTGAGTTGGGGAAAATGTATATGTGACCTGGACACATGTTGCATAAATTATTTTTAATTGTAGTTCATTTGAAGCCAAACCAGTAAATTCAGCATATCTAATTTGTAACTTGATAAAAAAGTGGGTTTGAGTATGAGGTATGTTTTTGAAAGAGCTATTGACAATAATGCTGATAAGCCTGGTCTGATTTCCATAAAAAAGGTTCAGAGTTCAGAAGAAAAAGTTATTTTCGGCAGAAGCACAATCGAAGGGCGAAACCAACAGATGCCAAATCTAACATCTCGCTCCTGCTTCTTTTCCAGGTTTACCAATGACAGCTATATGCTGGTGTTAGCCTTTTGAATCTGGCACTTGTGAATATTACAGCTTTATTTAACATAGGATTCATAAAAAGGAAACAAAATATAGACTTATCAGTAGGTTTCAACCAGTTTTTAACTGGACACACTAAAACACCCACAAGTAGCTTGTCTTGTAAGGTATTTGAAGAACTGTCACTATTTTTTAACCAAAAAACAATAACCCAGGGCAGCTCAGTGGCATCACACCGGCAGACTTGGGGTTTGAATCCCACTTTTACTGTATGTAGTTAGTATGTGCTGCAGTACTGGTCCTTGCCCATACAGCCCCCTTGGCGAATATCATCACCAGCACCCCCTGTCACAGGCAAAATGAAATTTGCTGGCAAGTCAGTGCCCCCTCAGATGTTGGTGCCATAGGCAGCTGCCTGCTTTGCCTATAGGATTGACCGGCCTTGATGTTCTCCCTGTACCCCATGGGTTGCCTCCCATTACTTTTATTTCCTCCCAAATCCATGGATTTAGATCAACTTGCCTGTAGGGTTTGAATTCGTGAACACATAAGCAGTTCAAATGTCTATGGATGTCAAACTGGCCAATCACCAAAAACTTGAAAAATCTTCTAGAAATACTGTTTTGGGAAAAAATATATTTCCATTAAAATAATTATGCTGAATGAAGGACTGGAATTTTAGTAAATCTTGATTGATTACTTGGTGACCTCTGGAACTCTTGGTAAACTGAAAAGCATATTGTATGGGGTCGTTTGAAATAGCAGTACTGAAACAGCTAACGGCATGTATAACGTTAACAGCAAAATTAGTGTAGGAATCAGTTTATTTATTTATTGTTTCAGTCTGAACGTCACGTGCATCAAGTTAAATTTTAAATGTTCTTCGGTAAGTAATATATGTGATTATCCATTATCGAAAAAAAAATCAAAAAATCATAAATGCTCATCCAACCATTCACTTTCTGCAGTATAAGCAACCAGTTTAGGAGGCCATGACAGAAACCACAGCGCGCGCAAAAACACCACGGACGGAACGGCAGTCCATTGTATTATTATCGGCATTTTGAAGCAATTATTTCTCGTTCCGTGGGTCGTCAGCAATATTAAGTTGTAAAATAATAAATAACAGTTAAGTCAATTATGTATTAGATGATAATAAAATTACACCTGGCCAAATATGACGCCTTGATATGGAATGAGTCATTTTTAAATATGAAGCTTGATATCTTCATGATTGTAACTGTGGTTTTCATTACCACACAGCACATACAGTGTTCGCAGCTTGACAATAGCAAACGAAATCTTGGTAACGAAATACACGAAAATGCTTTATTAAAATACTCAACTGCCCATAGTTTTAACACCCAGTCGGAATTACACTTGCATTGAATGAGAGGGTACGCCTTAGTCATAAAGTGAGAATTAAGCCATTACCGCCCAAAATCGATGAACATCATTGTACTCAATTCCCTATCATGATTTTCCAAATGGGAACTCACTATTGGCATAATATATACATAGACGGAGGGAAGGAAACAGATAGTTGTATTTCGGTCGCCACCCCGTCGGCTCTAATATGGTACGGTCTGCCTCCAAACGAGGGAGAGCGAGATAAAGACGCGCCTTGTGACGTCATGGGCCTCGACTTCAGCGCATAAATACTGGTGTGCTGGTGCAAAATTACCGGTGTGTTTCCAAGCGGTTCGACTTACGTCAGGGTGCTGCTGCAAAACAAATAAATAAAAAAAAATAAAGAAAATTCATATATATATTTTAGAAACCTCAACAATTATTTAATTGTGATAGTCGGTCTTATATTATATAGCTGCCGCTAACTATATCCGTCAAGAACTGTAATTAATATATCGAAAAAGTAAGGGAAAATGATGAACGGTCAGATGAACGGCTTCCATAACTCTCTCATCGAGGAAGACTGCTTTCTCTTCACCTCTGAATCCGTCGGAGAAGGGCACCCCGGTAAGCCGATATATCTTGTTCACCTACTACTTATCTGTCGTTTGTCGAAGCCGGCGTGTTCATTCGCTTAACAAGACTTTTTTTAACGCGCAAGGTCATGCGGCGCATTTAAACTATTCTCTCTTACCGGTAAAAGGAATTATTTTTGTATATTACATAATTTCGACTATTTTCAGAGCATAGTACGACAACCAGTTAGAAAAGGCCGGCTTCTAGAAGTGGCTAGTGAACGCCCTCGAGCCACGCGTGCCATCTTTCGGCTGCATTGACGTCTTTTACTTACTAGGCCACACACCCTCTAATGGTTCTTTTTGGGTGGCTAAGGTCATCTGACGCGACGGATCAGCAGCCCTTTTTATGTCGTGGTGGCTTCCAGGTTAAAATTTCCCTGTCGTCGAGTGCCTGCTGTAGTGCGGCGGCCTCGGCGCGATTTCATCAGTCATAGATTTCCGGAATTTTCCGGCCGGTCTAAGCGCGAGCGGTGCGCGCTAGCCATGGAGGCCACGCGGTGATGCTGGCAGCGCGTGTGTCCAAAACTGAGCATACATATTATGCTTATGGCACGCAGGATGCTTTTAACTCAATAATCAATAAATATAACATTCTTATATTTCCAGCATATTAAACAAAACGTGCCTCTCGTTCTCCCGCCGCAGGTTTCCGAGAAATACCTCACTTTTACATTCGCGCCGCCAGTTAGACGAGCCTTTTCCGCACGGAGCAAGCACATCGTTTCGAACAACGAAGAGCCGGTATTCCGAGCAGATCAGATCATGGTGCTCGTCGCGCCGGCGCGTAATGCGGCAAAGGCGATCGCTTGGTCTGCACCGCAGTCAACTGTGACGGGTTTGCGTTTCGACCAACTCTATTTAGATAACGCTGATTCGAGTCGGCGCTGCAATTGGCTTGGTGATCTTTCCAATGCGGACTTCAATTCCGCACCGCTAATAGGTACGGAACTGCAGCGGTCGGCAAGACTAACTTATGCTGTTCATCGTCTACTGGTCTAGACGAGACGTCTGCAGACCTTGTTCTCTAAATTCGGGGGGGGGGGGGTGATTTGCGAACGATTAATGTCAGCGCGATGTCAGTGGATTATGCGCACCGATTTGTGCCTCGTCATCTTTGTGTTTTTTTATTCCCCCCCCCCCCCCCAGATAAGATTTGTGACCAAATCAGTGATGCTGTGCTGGATGCTCATCTGAAACAGGACCCTGATGCGAAAGTGGCCTGTGGTAAGATCACTTTTCCTTCATGTGGTGTCACTTCAGGGATACTTGGGACACTTTTCCTCACTCTCTTGTTTTCCAGAAACTGTTGCCAAGACTGGGATGATCCTGCTGGCAGGAGAGGTGACATCTCGGGCCATTGTGGACTACCAGAAGGTTGTCCGTGAGACAATCAAGCACATTGGATATGACGATTCTTCTAAAGGTTTGTCTAATTTAGCATTGTCAGTATAAGTTTATTTATAATAAAACATTACTTGATATCATTTGCCTTTTTTTCTTTGGCTCTTCTGGGTCCTTTTAACAGGCTTTGATTATAAGACCTGCAATGTGCTGGTTGCCCTGGAGCAGCAGTCACCTGACATCGCACAGGGTGTTCACTTGGATCGCAGCGAGGAGGATATTGGGGCTGGGGACCAGGTATGTCCTGTGATTTGGTTGATGTGCTGCCCCCTCTGGTGTAGTTGAGCAATATGCGGGATTGAATCTTGATAGTTCATGTATGTCCCTGCTGTTTCAGGGCCTGATGTTTGGCTATGCGACTGATGAGACTGAGGAGTGCATGCCCCTCACGATCGTCCTTGCCCACAAGCTAAATGCGAAGATGGCTGAACTCCGCAGAAATGGCACCCTGCCCTGGCTGAGGCCTGATTCTAAGACTCAGGTAAGCGTGGCTTCGATTGAAATGATCCCCTTGGTACTAATGTGTAAAATAAACCTGATTTAGGTGTGATTGTAAACCATGGCAGATCTAAATAGGCTTTAGCTGGTCTGCTGGGAAGGGAGGTAGTAGGATTCCCACGTGCAGTACAAAGGCACCCTTGTCGGCACCATATTTCCATAGAAAGGTCACTTCAGGCGACTGTAAAGCCTGATCAGACTTAGTATGGTGTAATGACCAGCTGAAGGCAAGTGGAAGCTGAAGGGAGCAGCTGGTACAGATCTAGATGGGGGAAGGGTTGGGAATGAAAATGCTTCAAGGCTGATCTTAATTGCATTTCATTGCAAAACCTGTGGTTTAGTATGACTGAGGCTTTTGTGTTGCCTGCTGAGTAGCCTCAGTTCCTGGTTGAATTTTTTGGTTCTTTGATTTAAGTCTTTTTTAAATTTAGTGAATTCATTCACTTATTGACCCCCCCCTCCCCCCAGGTGACTGTGCAGTATCGACAGGACCGTGGAGCCATGCTGCCTGTGCGTGTCCACACAATTGTTATCTCGGTGCAGCACGACGAAGAAGTGTGCTTGGATGAAATGCGCGATGCCCTGAAGGACAAGGTCATTAAGGCTGTGGTGCCCTCGGTCTACCTGGATGATGACACAGTCTACCACCTGCAGCCTAGTGGTCGCTTTGTCATTGGGGGGCCTCAGGTAAGTGGGGAATCAGATTTACTGACCCTGTTCTGTAAAGTGAAAAAATTCTTTGGACTAACTTATGTAATCCTGTCTCTTTCAGCCAAAAAAATAGATTAATTCAAGCTCCCAAGCTTGCAGGACATTTTAAGCAGCTGTTCATCAGGCCTTTTTGGTTTCAATTTTCTTTGCCCCCCCCCCCCCCCCGCTCAGGGTGATGCAGGACTCACAGGCCGTAAGATCATTGTGGACACCTATGGAGGATGGGGTGCCCATGGGGGTGGAGCCTTCTCTGGGAAGGACTACACCAAGGTGGACCGCTCTGCTGCCTATGCTGCCCGTTGGGTGGCCAAGTCCCTGGTGAAGGCTGGCCTTTGCAGACGGGTTCTGGTCCAGGTAAGGAAAAGAGGTGGAACCTTGTACCAGGGCTGCCCCTCTAATGTGAACGACACCTTGCTGTCTGCTGATGGGTTCATATTTGGCTCATTCATCAAGGTTGCATGTCATGAATTTCTGGTATCAGGTATCCTATGCCATTGGAGTGTCCCACCCCCTGTCCATCTCAATTTTCCACTATGGGACATCACAAAAGAGTGAGAGGGAGCTGCTGGAAATTGTCAAGAAGAATTTTGACCTCCGCCCTGGGGTCATTGTCAGGTAAAGTATACTTTCAGGGCTGTTTCTTCTCATCCCAGCCCAAGAAGTTTCAAAATCCCATTGGGGGGTACCTCTAGGTCAGTAAGGGCTGGATCTTTCATCACTCCCCTCTGGAGTGGGGTGGGGGGGATGTCCTATGAGGCTGCTGTATGAGACCTGCATAAACTCCAGTTTGACTTTCCTTGCTGCCTTGTCCACAATGGGTGCATCTCATCAGGAGCAGTAAAAATCTAGACGTTGATGGATATTGATCTTCTGCATGGTCTAGGGGCAGGCTGAGTAAGCCCCAATCAAAGTAGTTGAGTCAGGTGGTGCTTCCTCTTAGATGTTTAACAAGCCCTTCGTAGAATAAGCACCCAATCTCCCCACTCCTAAAGTCACAATAGGGGGGTCCTCACACCAAGAACAGTGAGTATCAGGGTAAGTTTATCCTGTCCCATCCTCCTGCCCTCAAGGCTTGAGTCCTACCAGAACTTGCATTCGCTGCATCAGCGACATGAGATCTTCTGTCTTGGGCATGGGCATGTTCCAGTGATGGAGTTTATTAGGCAGCTTTCTGGCTGGAGGGGCTCTTGTATGTCACTGGGAAAACTTGCCTGTGGTAGCTGCTAAATGAACTGATTGTGTATTCCAGGGATCTGGAGCTGAAGAAACCCATGTATCAGAGGACTGCAGCGTACGGCCACTTTGGTCGTGATTCCTTCCCTTGGGAGGTGCCCAAAAAGCTGAAATACTAAACATGTAAAGCTTTTTTCCCCCCAGGCCTGTTGGTGTATACTACAGAGAAGCCTGCATGGTCTTGGAGGGGGAAGGCCATTTATTACAAAACATCCAGAGCTCCTAATGGCAAAATTGATACCCCTGACTCTGTCCTACAATTCTATTCCTCCTAGTTCCTGATTCTCCTTCCCTGAGCAGTAGTGTAGTGGTAACTTGTTTGGGTTTTGTTCATCTTTTGTGGTGGTTTGAGCTCTTGCATGTGTCCACTAGGCCTCTCCCCTTTTCACATCCTGCTTGTGAGGCTGTAGCTTGTCAACGGACTCCCTTTCTTCAGGCTGTGGGCCCATGGGTTCATTACCCTTCGGCTTCACACGCATGACTGCCATCATGCCAAATCGACTTCCTCTGTTCTTGGTGCTGTGTGTGATGGTGCTGTTTGAAAGGGTGTTGTGGGGAAAGGGCCTCATAGCTGTCAAGTTAAGACTGACTGACTAGAAAGGCCTGGTGGCTGGTGCCTTGTGCACACTAGACGATTCATCTTAAATTCTCAGATGGAAGTATGGTCTTGGTCTGAGCTCTCTGCAAGAGAACTGGTGCTGCGGAAATGAAGAGATCATGGCTTGGTGCTGTGGGTCCTTCTGCAGTGTATCTTTCTAAATTCCTAAAGCAGTCATCCTGGACAATGGGAACTTTTTTTGTGATTTGAAAGGAACTCAGCCTGGTAGCTACCTGCTTGTCTCTGTAGATGTCTTTTGCTTTTATGTAGTTGAGCTGCAGTGATTGCTGATGGTTGCTAGCAGTTTAACCTTCCCAATCCTGTTTTCCCTCCTGTCGGTCACTGGAGGATCTAATGATGGCACAATTGCTAGCAAATGTTATTGGCACCCCCTCCCCCTTTTTAGAGCCCCTAGGCATCATAGGCTTAAGGCACTGGCCAGACAGTTTGTTTAAACCTTGGCGTTGATTGTAGTCTATGCAGACTGTAGCCGTTTTCTGACGTACTACAGAAAAGTCAGAAGCTGCTATGCCCGGCTCCATCTGTATACAGTCTGAGGCTATTGTGGTGATACTACTTGATTTTTATTTTTATTTTTTTTTCTTAAGATTTAAATGCAACTTTCAAATTCCTTCAAAAGGCAGGTTTAATTTTTCCTTTTTAACAAGGATTTTAAAATTGGTTAAAGACAGACACTCCTTTCCCCTACTCCTCCCTTCTGGTACTGACGACAGGCATAGCTACAGAAAACCTGCTCGGCCGTTACCCTGAAGGGCTGTCTTAACCATCATTGAAGCTCTTGATACTTGAAGATGAAAATGGAAACCAATCTTAGTGTTTGTATTTATTGTGTTCTGGAACTTGGCGTGGATACAGAGAAGCTGGTTTCAGAAGGCAGCTTTTTTAAACAATGTTTTATATTTTTCTCTTTTTGTTGTTCCCAAATGCTGTATTTCGCATTCTGTTTCCAGTGGTTCCCCTGTGGTCCAAAGTGTCCTACAGAAAAGCTTTGGGTTCTAGCCATGGGGGCTGCTGGCATGCTTGATCTGTTGAGTGTCCTGGATGAAATCTAGCTTGAGCACATCGTGTCACGGAAAGCATGCCTTGGTCGCGGGGTGCAGAGTTTGGCTGGTGTTGTACAGAGAAGCCAGCCTTGTTTACATGCCCGCTGATGGGTTGCCACCTTGCGTGTTCTGGGTTTTGCTTAATTTCCCCTCTCCCACTGTCTTGGAGCACCGTCTGAATGCTGGTTTCTCCAAGTTTAAAAAGTGCCTTTTCTGTTTTTCCACCCCCAACTTCCACAAACATGAAGAAAGGTAACATGACCCTATCCTTTCCCCTAGGTCTCAAACCTCCAGAATCTGAGTACTAACCCTCTTGTCAAAGATCTAAATAAAAGTGCTTAATCATTCCGGAATTTTGTCTTGCTGTTGCATTTGTCTGGTGCTTCTATCAGGAGGGGGGCGGGGTGACTTCCATTTTGCCTTTTTACTTCTGGCAGTAAACCAGCTCCACATGCCTTACAAGCTGGTATGTATTGTCCTGGAACTGAATTTACCTACACCTTCCTGTGAATTGCAGTGATACCGGTTTCTTAACTCCTGCAATGTCAACTTGTATGGTTACGTTAAATTGGAATTGTGGGTGTGAGCTCTCAAAGCAGTTTCAACACAAGCTTGTTGGTCTTGGCGTGTGGCGTTTGCATATTCCTTGCAATAGTCTTCCAGCTTTCATACTAGTTCTAATGTATATTTAAACTGCCTCATTTCTAAACTTCATGTGTATGGTTGGGGGTTGAATCCTCACCTCCTGGCTGTATGTACCATTGGTTTTTCTTTTCCCTTATTTCCTCATACAGTCTGAACATGCAGCTAAGTGATCTGGTTTTCCTAAATTGCTCTGTGACCCTGTGTTGGGTGAAAAGGGTCTGCTGTTTGCCTGCTCCAACTGAGCTGGCTAGGATCAAAGCCGGAAGCTGCACAGCATAGTTTAGCTACTAGAACATGTCTAGAAATAAAACGACATACTGGCCAACAGGAACCCCTTCCTAGCTGTGGGTCACTGTACAGGACTAGCAGCCAACATGTAACTTTGGAGCTCGGCAGCTGATATTAAATATGGTCACTTGGACTTGGCAGCACAATCAAGCTCTGGACAAATGAGTATAAATCATTGGAAGTGTTTCATTTCTATGCAGATTGACCTCATTTGCTTTTCCCCATTCTCAGCCTGTTGTGATCCTTATGACAGAAAAAGGTATGAAGGACGTTGGGAAACTTCTATTTTTTTTTACAGGAATCCTCATGCTTCATAAGCAGCTCAAACCCACTACTGTATCCCTTGAATCGGGTTTTGGCTTGTTGTTTTCCATATGAATGTTAGGGTGTTTGCTTCTTCAAATAGGTGGGTCACATGCTCTACGGATGTGATTTCTGAATTCTTTGTGAGGATAACAAGCCAGAGGCACAAGACACAACTACTTTTATATTTTGAATGCCTGATTTTAAATTAAATTTTAAAGGAAGTTGAACTTAATTATAAGCGAAGCCAAATTATTCCAGTAAGCTGCTATATTTAATTTTGAAAATCTGCCCTGCCCCATTCCCAGGTAATAGTTGTAGTTTCTGTAACCTGTCAAGTACTGTATGGAAAAGGCTGCCTCAGGTGGGACACAGTGGTAAAATGGTGATTAGTGGACTCCACATAAAACATGCAAGCTAAGAGCCCACACCTCTTGTTTTGTGCCTGTCTGTATAGTACTGGGTCATAGGCAGCCTGAAACAAGGAAACAGTGGTGACTATAGGCAGGATGACCAAAAACTCATGCTTGCAATACAGTGAGTTTTGAGACTCAAAGCTGTCTTTGGACTATGGGAGGAGATTGACTGCCTGGTGTCCAGAGTCGCGATGCATATAAACTCTGCACATGTAGTTACTGACCCCCCAACTCTGGAGGTGTAGGGTAATGGTGCCCTCCTTTTTGTTGCTGTACTGCTAGTTCATTCTCAGTTCAAGTGTAAGATTGATGGATGTCTCTAGACCAGTGTTTCTCAACTTGGTCCTCGGGGACCCCCGGGCAGACCATGTAGGGACTTCCAGCAGGGAGCAAAAACGTGGACTGTCCAGGGTTTCCCTCAGGACTGGATCTAGACTACTGAAGACTGAAAACCCATCTGCTCCATCTGTACTGAACATGCTATAGGTATTGCTCGGAATATTAGTATGCCTGTTCAGAGGTCATTATTCCAGCTAATTAGGTCTTGTGAGTTTCTCACTTTAATGGATGAACTTGGCTTTCCATTTGGCTTAAGAGTTACAGGAATTTTACTTTTGATCATCCTTTTTATTTTTGCTGATGCAACAATACAGCATTTGAGTCCTACTAAAAATATCTATTATTTGACAGTTACTCAAACACAACTTCTCTAAAGACCAAAGCTTGGAACGTTCTACTGAAGGAGCTGTATGCTATTTGTACATGCTCACTCAGTGGAAGCTCTTTTACTTTTTTATTGCCTGAGTAACACAGGGAGAGGAGCCATGTTTCCCATCCTCAGCTTGGCTGTGGATCTCTGTGCTGCGAGATGGTGGTCCTTGGCAGCTGTAGCACAGCCTGAAACATTCCTTACCCTAAACAGATGGAAATAACTCCTGGGGTCTTCATAAATCCTCTGGGGAAGGTGGGCAAAAATTTACAGGCTTTCTTGCTTCGAAGGGAAGGGGGTGTGGGATCACTCTGTCCGATAAGGAGAGAGACCTTTCTGGCAGGGCAGTCAGCTGACTCAGGAAAGTAGCTGTATGCTGGCCTGTAAGGTTAGGCTGTGTTGATATGATTGTCATTTCTTATCGTTACGGTCTTTTTATTAAAGCCACCATGGTTAACTTGCAATATTATACCTTGTCAATGCTATCCTACAGCCTTCAATATCTGTATGACATTGTCAGTCATTAATTGTTCAGGTTGCTTTAGAGGGTAATTATCAACCAAGCCTGTGTTATGTGATTGTACATGAAATACAGGGGTGTATTTCAGTAGGATTTTATGTAAATGTGATGTGGAGTTCTTGGAAAGGGAGGGCTACCTCATTCAAACTCCCGCTCCGAGCCAAGATCCGCTAGCTATTTTAAGGACTAGAAAACGTATGCAGGGTGAACTGAAATATAAGGCGATGCACATTTACAGGGGGCTACTACTACACACTGTTGCACTCCTCTGCCAGGTCAAAACCCAAATACCACAGCTGCTGACGGAACTCCACTCCCCCTGACACTCACCCCGCATCTATATTTAGTTCACTATGGCTTGCAAAAATGGAAAAGGAGATGGTGAAAACCCTCATGGAGAAAAGTGTCTTCTAACTAAAAGGATGCGTCTCATTGCTATGGACTTCAAGACGCACTGTGTTGTTATTTCACATCCTTGGAATCTGCAGGATAAGAGACACTTTTCCCCTCCTTATTCATTTGTTCATTATTCTATTCATGCATTGCAGTGAAATACTATATTTAATCATAGCTAAAAGGGGCTGTGTGTCTAAGCCTGCACAATTTGGTAGACTATTATTTAGGCAGAGTACCTTCAAGACTGTAATGTACAAGAGGCCAATTAGATAGCAGGAGCATATTGTGTAAGTCAGGCTCAAGGAAAGTGCAATACCATCATCATCCTCCTTAGTAGCAAACCTACATTTGTCCTGAAAACATTTTTCCGTTTACAGTTTTTAAACATCAAGTTATGTGGACAAATGTGTATTTCCAGGACAAATTCCTGATAGCACCCAAATGTGGTCTACCAACAGCAGGCGGTAAGTTCAGAAGGTCCAGATGTGATGGCAATTCACCTCTTTGGGTGAGAGACGTTATCTAGAGCTGAACCCCCCAATGGAGGGGGAGGAACAAAGCAAACCCAAGCAGGGATACTGTATCAAGCCTTGGGGACATCTACTTGCCCTATGCTTCGGCTACAGGGATGTCCCAACTGTGACTGGCATGGCTGTGAGCAGCTGTGGGGAGAAAGGTTTTGTGGGAGAATGTGAGAAGGTCAAGTCAAGCCCTTCGTCTATGCCTGGAATGCGCTTCCATGAGAAAAGGAGGTAAAAAAAAAAACGTACTTTGAGTTCCTTCATCCCTCATTCAAGGGCATCCCCTAATACATGGTGATTGCAAGAAAACTACCTTCACTGAAGCAGAACGTTGAACTTTGCCACTGAGATGCAACAAATCTGGGCCCAACTTGACAAATAAGCGGTTCAGGCTTAATGCGATGCATGAGGATTGAAGCCGCTACCTTATATAACATGGACGTCATTAGTCACTGTCACAAACAATTAGCAGTCACCCCAATTTTTCCAAGTGCACTTGCTTTGTAACTGTAGCAAGTTCAGTCTGATTGGTGAACAGGAAGTACTGACAAGATGTTCTCAGTTCTTTAGTGGTTTGTAGGGGGGGGGGGGGGTTACCTTTGCTATAATATCATTATAAGGCAAAGGGTATAGAAACAGGTAATAAAAAAAATTCCCCCCATGAATAATAATAATAATAATAATACAGCCCCCCCAGACTCCTGATAAACTGAGATGAAAGCTGTGTTACAGTGTGCAGTGTGCAGGTCTCTCCAGGTCCAGATGATAACAGCTTGTGTCATATATAGCTGGAAGACACGCGATACAGATAGAGGAATGTAGGAAGGCTCATGCATCCCAATCCTGGGGGTGGGGTAGGGTGATATATGGACTACTGTAAAGAGATACGGGGGCGGTGAGGAGTTGACATAAAGATAGGCATAAAGATCTGGGGGTCTTAGCCCGATCCTCACAGCTTACAACATGAGGATGCAAATCTACAATTGTATATAATATTTTGTTTCAAATATATGTATATTTTTTGGTATTATATGGATGTTTGTCTGCGCATGTTCTTGATGCTGTAGGCACTAGAATTTTCCCCATGATCAATAAAGTTAATCTTAATCTTAATTTGTTGCCTTTTGTGTTTATTTAATTAGTCGGTACCATTCCATGCTTATCTTTAAAATGTAACTATTAATCATTTGTTCTGTCTCCTGATAAATCTCAAGGATACCGAACATTTTTTTTTTATTAGTTCTTCCACGGAGGGGTGTGTGTGAAACTTGATGTGTGATTGGACAGCTGAATTTTTTCCTCCTCCTTCACCTTACTCTGTTAATCGTAAAAGTCACATGTCTTGGAACAGAAGAATGGAAATGAGAAGTGGGCGTGGCATAAAGTAGGGGTGTGTTTCCATCCACCAATAGACCATGGGAGCCCTACCCCTTCAAAATAAGCATTACGTAAGAGTGAGAAGCAGCTTGGAACAACTTGTGGGTGTGGTTTATTAGTTAACTTCATGTTTTGAAACAATAAATTAATCTTCTTAATAGTGATAAGCGGTTTTAAT